GAAAGTAGAGGCATGTTTGAAATGTAAAGATGACTTGCAAAGCTGCCCCTGAAATATAGTTTAGTTGCGAAAGGATCCGAATATTATTTAAAATTGATGCCTGCAATTTATTTTTATTTCATAAACGCCGAAAAATGTGTATCTGGATTGAAGGATTCGGGGGGGTGGGGTGTGTTTATTGATCCTCAAGGCATAATTACAAATTCCAGCCCACATTTCTAGAGTAATTACATAAAGATACTGTGAAATCTTGAATTCGGAAAAAAACAAACCCTGTTGTGTTTATATTCAGACTTGCAATTACCATTTTATTTAAGAAATAAACATGAAACCCCTCACATTTATTGAAATATCACAGATAATACCTCCTTAGAACGAACTCGTTATCCGAGTCCAGGGGCATTTGCAATTTATAAGAAAAATTGGAGCTTTTCATAATGAGACTAAACTTCTGGGGCAGCAGTTTTCAAAATGTATGTACCCATGAACCACTGTCTCCATTGTTGTCAATGCTCAGCCTCGTCCCACATGAGCATCAAAATTCGCAAAAAGAAATAGAGAAAAGTCGTACATTTGTCGAAATCTCAAGGAATATACTTATTACTTTTTTGGCCATTTTCTGCCTTATGACCTTAATAGAGTGGAAAAGCAAGTGTGGGGGACACAATCTACCGGTACATGTACAACGCGGATAAGTTTTCACCCGATCATCTGCTCGACTCCCTCAACATAAGCTCCGAGCATGAGGCCCTCGAGCTGGCGGATAAGGTGGAGGCCTCAATGTACACGTGGCGCCGTAAGATCTGCATGGCACACTCCAAGTCCTCGTGGAACATGGTCAAGGACCTCATGTCAGACGTTGACAGAAATGACAAGAATCACATCTTAGCCGAACGAGCTGAAACCCTTTTGTTCTGCCTGAAGCAAAGGTATCCAGAACTCTCGCAAACTACATTGGACACGAGCAAAATCCAATACAACAAGGCAAGTTTTCTCATTTTCCGTTTTTTGTTCTTTTATCATAACAAATCTTCTCATCTAAATTAAATAAAAATATATATTGTTTGCAGGATGTTGGACAGGCAGTACTAGAGAGCTATTCTAGAGTATTGGAAGGTTTGGCATTCAACATTGTTGCTTGGATTGAAGATGTACTCTTTGTAGATAAAACCAACAAAAATCAAGAATAGAGATGTTGCTCTAAAAGCAAACAAGTTTAATTTTGTATCCAGTAAATTTGTTGTACCATGGCAGGGGTAGAAAAGTCCTTTCCTATTATTGTAATATCATGAAATTTATCCCTCTAATTTGCCTTTTTTTTTTTTAGTGTTTTGAAATCATTCCTGCACCTGTACACAGCCAAATGACTTTGGAATTGCATTGATACAATTGGAATTTTCATTAAAATATAGTAGGGATTATATTATTCCGTTCTCATTTCCACAACAGGCACGAGTTTATATGTCCACTAACGGACCGGGCAGAAGATATTAGCATACTGTATATAGGACCAATGTGTCACGATATCAGAACATGTTGCTGGTGACACATCTTAATGTACCAACAGTGGGTAGAGATAAAAGATCAATAAATCATGACACGTGACTGGTGGACACATCGTAATGTGCCCATGGTTGATAGATGAACAATTCGAGAGAGTATATATGCAATTAGCATACTTAAAGAGAACAAGTCGAGAGAGTATAATATGCAATTAGTATACTTGATGAGAAGGGTAAAAGGCTAAAAGCACCAAGGTGAAAACCACATTATTTAAATAGAGTAGGATAGGAGGATATAATCTAGCCCCTATTTATTACATTCTCAAGGTGAATTTTATTCATGTTTTGTCACTATTCTTTTATTCAAAAGGTAACATACATAAAACAAACACTATTCCAGCTTATTGAACAACAAAGATAATTGCAGTTAATATTAGTGAACTTGTCCAGTGAAGGTGACTGCTATAACACTCCTAACAGTATGCTTTTCTGATTCCCAGAGCAAGTAGCCTTGTGCAAACAACGCGTTATTACCCCCACGCGTCATGTTCCTTCCGTAGCGGAACGTGTCATGTTCCTTCCGTAGCGGAACGTCACTTTGTACGTCGCCTCCTGATTCAAGCTCGTGAAACACATGCTAGATGGGTTCAAGGACGGCTCGACAATAGTCACAGAGTAACATGCATTAATTTCTCTCCCAGGCTTCTTAAAATAAACCTTGCAAATAATTCCAACGCATATGGCCTGATGCGTGAATGTCCAACTCCCTCATTAGTTGATAGCGGCTTAATTCTTTAATTGGGTCTTTAGCTCTATGATTAGCAAATTGGGCTGATGCGGGGTACCCCGTACTGGCATGCTCGGTTTTTGTTTGACGATACGCCACCAATAAAAATGCTCAAATATCCTAAAAATAAACCATAAATATATCATAGCAATTGAATCCATCTAATAAATAAATAAGTCGAAAAAAAATAAGTGCGATAAAATTAAGTATATAAAAATACGCGAATAGAGATATAAAATACATACTTTGTCCGACCAATCAGTTGACGAGGTCGGCGGTGGTCATGATAGCATATTTCACGGCCGTTGCAGACCAGTCGGGGGGTGTGCGCTCTTGATCAGGGCCGCAACCCCGCTGAGGTGGGGGCACGACATCGACGTGCCCGACAAGATTCTGTACATGATCCCTTTATAATTTGGGTTCAAAGGAGACGAGCCGGCTATGATGTTCTCGCCCGGCCCTAAAATGTCGGGCTTCAATACCCCGGGAACTCGCTTGCTGGGCTCCCTCGACGAGAAATACGAGATGATGGAAGTCGTCGGGTCCCCGAACTTCGTCCCCTGAAACACGATTGTCGCCGTCGGGGACGGCGTCGACTTTATATAGTCCTTCATTTTTTTACCCGCCGAAAAGGACACCGACGTCGACGGGAGGGGTAGGAGATTCGACTCGTGTGTAAAACTGGCGGCTTCCGTGTTGATCGATATCATGGCGGCTCCCCCGGTATTTTTCACGTCCTCGGCTTGATACTTGTGTTGCCGGCGTCGAGCTGAACAATCTTCCCCCTAACGTCGAACCCCGCCAACGACCCCGGGCAGTAGACGAGCGGCAGAAGATTCTTGGAAGAGAAGTTTGTCGGCTGGTACACGGACTCCCCGTCGTGCACCACCCTGTTTCCCAACGACATGGAAAGGACATCCATGCTGTCCTCGATGGCAGCGTCGAGTCCAGCTACTATGTCGCTCTCCCTACAAAACCTGGCAATGCAGACTCTGTAAATGGCGAGGTTGGCCCGCGGGGCCATCCCGGAAGCCCTCCTGGCGCCGCCTGCGATGCGGACGAAGTCTCCGGAGGGCGGACCCGTGGCCATCGAGGTCGACCGGCGAGGCAGATTTGTTGCCCATGATGAAGCCCCGGGCGGTGATGACCTTGTTGGTGCAAAGGGTCGTCGGCAGGCAGTAGCCTTCCAACCGGAGGGCGGTGGGGACATCTCGTTGAGGTTGAACGAAGGGTGGCGCGGGTAGTGACCGGTGTCGAGGACGCTGATGACGATACCCTCGCCGAGGTTCGTTTGCTTCCACGCTCCAGTTCGTGCGGTAAGACCGAGGAAAGTGGGGGAACGGGTCGTCCGGAGAAGGTATGTGAGTTCTGCGCGTATCGAGATGACGCCCGGTAGATTCTTTAGGGACTCGACTTCGTCAGCAGTGAAGGAAGCCGAGAAGCCGCTGATGGCGTGCTTGTACGAGTGGATTAGGGAGTGGTCGGGAACGAAAGAGTTTGTTAGCTCGTGGTTGAGTCAAAGGCGGCTTCGTCGGAGTTTTTCTTCACGTGGATTATGTAAGAGGTTTTCTCATGGTCACATGAGAGGGTTGGTGTAAGGAAGGAGGAGAGAAGGAATATGATTTTGAGTGCATGGGATAGTTAAGAGGAGCCATGGTGAGTTTGTGGGTTGGACTCGTTAAAAGAAGTTGCATGTATTTAAAGGTAGCATGAGAGACAACTTGACAAATATCGATGTGAAAAAACTTAATATTATTTTTATAACACGGTGAAGAAGATTAGGAAAAAACTACAGTGCTGTTACGGAACCATTCTATCGAGATTTTTAACCGTTAGATACATATGTAGATTAGTATATAATAGATAATCTATGGTTAAAAACCCGACGGAAAGATTCCGTAACGGGACTATAGTCTTTCATGATTCACTAATTGACATATCATTTAGTTTAGTCTTTTACTTTTTGTCCTAGTAATACATTCATAAAAACATGATTGAGCAACAACACTTTAAGCTCAAGAAACACTAACATGAATATTGTACAATTAAGGTTAACTGTACACATTCATTCTGTCCTTCACCAGAAATAATATTATCTCATGGACCAAAATTTAAAATTGGTCCTATAATTTGACCAAAATTCAATTTTCCACCTCGTCATTAACCACTTTCAAACCGAGTACAAAAATTTAACAATTTAATTAATTTAGTCCCTTTTTATGTGCACCCTGTATAACAATGTGATGTGACAATTTTTTTCTGACATGACATGTTTTAATTTCATTTGTATTTAATAATTTCAATTATGTCATGTGAAAAAAAATTTTGACAAGTCATTGCAGAGTGGATATAATTATCCCCATATCACTGCCAAAGTGGAAGCCAAAAAACAAAAAAAGAAAGTGGATCGACAGACCCGTTTTGCAGTCGTTCACGCCAGAACAAAGTGGGCTTCGACCTGCACAATATCCAGCAGACCCACCGGTCACCCCAGCCCCCCGACCGATTCGGCGTTGTTCCCGCACAATACCCGACGCCACCATCTCCGCCAACGCCTCCATTGCCCCCCTTGCCTGCGGCACCGCGGACAAGGTCGTTGCCTTCGAGAGCTCCAATTTCTTCTCCTTGATCCACCTCCAGCCCATCCCCCTGAAGACATTGGTTCTATCTCTCTCTCTATGTCGAGCTCTTTCGTCTAGTTCGATTGGGTTGGGTCGCGAAGTGCTCGCCAAAGTTTGATTGGCAAGTGGACTGAGGGTGGTTGGCCGAGTGGGCTTAGGTGGCAGGCGGCAGAAAATGTGCACGGCAGAGGCGAGCTTGGTTGTATTGCCAAAAAAAAAACGGGTTGCTAGAAACAATCGCTGGTTCTGTAGATGGTTGAAGCCAACGGGTGCGCGACGACGTGAGGAGTCTGGAGGTGTCCTTGATTTCGTTGGGTTGCCTTAAATTGCCGGGAAATTGATGAGGAAGACCGGATTTTCTAGATTTAAAAACTTTGATCAGAGCAATTGACGGCCTTAAAGGTGTAATTTTCGTCGAAAATTTTAGGAGGTGAACGAGAACGAGAATACCTTCAAGATGATGTAAGAAAATTTCTGATCAGAGGTGGTCGACCAGCGTCTGGCGAGTGGCGGCAACGGTCGACGGACGGCGGAAGCGGGCGGCGGTGGTAGATGGGTGAAGACTAGCTGAAATAGGGCTTGGGATTGCAGGGGATCATTTTTGAATTAATAAATTATATGAACTATTTTGCAATATAAAAAGTTTTAGTTAATTGCACCTAAGGTCTAAGACTGATGTGGATAATTTTATTTTGAAGTCAACGTTTCCTAATCCCACCACATAAACAACAATAACGCCATGTCAAATTTAAAAACACCACGTCACGTTTTTATCCATGGTGCGGATAAAAAAAGACCAAAATTGATCATATTGTCAAATTATCGAACCCAATTTAAAAGTGGTCAATAACGGAATGAAAAATTAGACTTTTGGCCAAATGATAGGACCAACTTTAAATTTTGATCTTTTTTCTCTACTGTTCTTATTCATTTTGAGAACTGAAACACGTTGTATCACCTCAGGTTTGGTAAATGTTTGTGTTTATTATTTTTAGTTAAAAAAAACAATTTTAAAAAAGTTGAAAATATTCAAAACGAGCCTAAATTTATCTAATAAAATAAATTATAAATATGTATGAAATAAAAAAAAATTTGCACAGAAAATAATATATTTTGAATAATAATGCAAAAAAATAAAAAATAATATTAACTAGTATTTTATCGTATTTAATTATATTATATCACAATCATGCATTCAAAATCTTAATCTTCATGCTTCTAATCGACGTCGAATTCTTGCTCCTAATTGACGCCGAATTGCTATTCCTAATTGATGGCGAATTCCTGCTCCTAACTAACGGCGGCTATCGATTGCTTCGAATTGATGGAGAACGGCTAGGGATTATCAATTGGTGGTGAATTGTTGGTCCTAATTGACAGCAATCGGCTGCTTCGAACTGATGGAGATCGACGAGGGATTTCCAATCGATCGATGATGGAGAATGGCGAGAGATTTAAGATAGGGGAAACTTTTCCCTTTTTCCATTTCGGAGAAGGGTTCCTAAGATATGTTCAACTTACGAGTGTTCTTTTCTAAGCTTGTCTTTGTGATTAACTTAGAATTCCTACATAATTACATTGGAAATTCATTGAATTATTTTTCAAAGATTTTCTCATATGAATTTTCCAACAGTTTTAATATTTGTTGGAATATTCCAACATAAAATTAAGTTGTTGGAATATTCATTGGAAATTCCAACGAACATTTTTGTCATTAGAATTTAACTTTTTTTTTTAATAGTGTCAACTTTAGTTTGAGGAGTACAACACTCGTTGTATAGGCATATATGATATTGGTATTAAAAAATTTATATTTAAAATTTTAAAATAAAGAAAAAAGAGTCTTTTGTTTTAGATTTAAAACATTTTTTTTAAAATAATTATTACTACTATTTAAAATATCACATGTCACTTGCAGGACTTACTCGTCTTATATCATAATAATTTTTCTAAACTCATATCGAATCACTTTATAGATAATTTATTATAGATAATTTATTTAATTGAGAAATAATTATATTATCTTTCAGTTAGGATTAGTAGATATTTTAATTTTTATTATAAATACAAAAGTAATTATTTATTCTATATTGAATTATGGATATTAAATCAAAGCTTGTCAAGTGATTATTAATTTGATATATCATATATAAAAATTTAATTAAAAAAAATAAAAAATATATTAACTTTTAAAATATATTTTATATTTAAGTTAGTCACGTGTTGACATAAGTCTAAATATACATGGATTATTACAAAGCACAAAAAATTGATAAATAAGTATGAATCAACATAATTCGACACAAGATTATGTAGCACCAAAAGTTGAAGCGCAACCTCGAAAAACTCTGCACTTCTATGAGTTTTTCGTTTTATGCATTTGATAACCAATCAATGCCTAAAAACAAAGTATATAAACTATTGCTGTAGGATTTATATTTTAAGTATCCCATTGAACTCTTTTTATAAAATTTTGCGCATTTTCAAGCATTCTATGCTCAACAAGTGCATTGAACTCTTTTTTATAAAATTTTGTGCATTTTCAAGCATTCTATGCTCAGTAAGTGCTAACACAAGTTGTGATGTGCTATTATAACTTACAAGTAGTAGGATTGAGATTAATCACAACTCATTTATAGTCCCCATTTATCAACTAATTTTTTAATTATTTCTGAATTCTTACAGTCTATATCTAAGATTGAGGCTGTATGAACTTCTCCACCTGGGATACCGGTATTGTTGTTAGATGATCTAGGCGTTTTAGGAGTTATTGAAGGTTTTCTTTCAAACTCAGCATCCATTCCTCGATCATTTTTTGTTGCAGATGATTCGGGTTTTTCCATTCTAAAAGTTTCTTTTAGAATTTCTTCTTCTTTTTGTTTTTCCCGGAACGATAGAGGTATTATAAAGCGCACAAAGTGCGGAAAGAAAATCAGCCAAAGGCTGAAAGATACAACCATCGGCTGAATAAACTGGGAGGCAGACTCGAAGGTCGCCTAGAGCCTGACCTAGCAACGCTAGAATAACACAAACACAAACTACAAAATACTAACTAAAAGATCTCAAAAGGATAATGCCCGAGTGAGAAACGATCCCAACAGGATAATAAAGCTCTCACTCGGGTGAAAACAGAGGCCAAATGCCCAAACAAAAAACATAAACCTAAAAAACAGACAACAACTAAATCAAACAAAACAATCACAATACAAAATTAAACAAACTAAACAACTCCTTCCCAAACAGCAAGACAAAGCAGAGCCAACAGAACCGAGTCGACCCAAAGAGAATCCCACAGCCAAAGAGGACCGACTCCGAAACTGCCCAACACCAACTCGGTGGCCTAGCGAAGTCGAAATCCAAGCCCCGGAACATCCTCCAAGCCAACTCACAACACAACCACCACACCCAAATAGCCAAGGAACCAGCACTGGACCGAACCCTCTAACACCAATAGTGAAGTTCGACAGTGCTCGACCGCCCTCCCGACACTCTGCACGAGAGAAAAGAGAGAGCAGAGCTAAGGATGACAGTGTGCAGAGCTAAGGATGACAGTGACTGCTGCTCCTCCGACCCCCAAACCACCTGAAAGCAGCCGACAGCCCTCCACACCACCACTGTTCCACTCCGCCCACCACCACTGGCCGGAAATTAGAGACATCGAGGGGGGAGACGACTGAAAGCCCCTGCGTAGCACCGGCATCCCGACCCAAGTCGCATAAAGACCGAGCCACGTGTATCCCACAGAACCGCAACCTCGGAAAGCCGTCGACCTGAGCTCACGCACCGGCACCGGAGACGAAGACCGTCCGTGAAGTCGAAGCTTTCACCATCACGAAGAACGGGACAGACGATAAAATCTAAGAGGGATTCAGGCAGCTGAAGGCCGACCGTCGACTTAAACTCTCTTGCCGATTAGAAAGGCAAATCGAAGAGAAATCAGGAGCTGATCGGCGAAGAAGAAAGGGGAGCGGCGCAGGAGAAATTTAGGGCTTTGGGTCATGTTTAACTTCTTCATTATTGAAGTTTATTTCTGAATCAGATTGAGTATAAGTTTTAGTTTCTTCAAATTGATAAAATTGTTCATTTTTATCAAGTTTTAATAATTTTCTCATTTCATAATCTAATTCTAGATCTGAATTGCACTTTTCTATATCCATTTCTAGAATCGGTTGAAGTCTTTCAGCTTCTTCATCGTCTAAATCTAAATTAATTAGATTCTAGAGATTTTTCTCAAGTTTGTCTTGAATAATCTTTTTTCAGGGCATCTTTTGCCCATTAAAGGCATTAGGATTTCCTGAACTTCCTAATTCTTCATTTCCTTGAGGATATGAGTATTTAAGAGAAAATATATTTTCTTGATTAAGAGTTATCTCCTGTTTTTCAAGAATTTCTTTTTTGGAAGGACATTTAGCAATTTCTTGCTTAATATCATGAATTATTTTAGCCTCTATTGGTTATAAATCTTGTTTACAATCTTTAGATTGATGTTCCACAAATTTATATAAATCATCTATCTGTTTTTTTAAGGATTTCCATATATTGTCTGACATCGATCATTGTATAATTCATTTTTACTATCAATATTATTTTTTCTTTGTTTGTTTGCTTATAGCAAACTAAGGTGTGCCAATAGCCTCAAAAAGTGAAACTTGTCACTCAAAGGGATGGTGAAAGTAGTGCCCTTACGAGCTGGATCGAATTTTTCAAAAAGAAGGCATCATTACCAATCTCCAACGAAGTCATATTTATGCCCTCATTTAAGTTCTTTTGGGTTGCTTGTATTGGGCCCATGTATACAATTTTGGCTATTCAATATGACATTCATTCGGGCAATGCACTTGGTTAATGCTCAGCCTTCATCCGCTTTTCTATGGTTTCGACTTCAATAATTTTTTCAATTTAGATTTCTATTAAAATCAAAATAAAACACCTCTTTATAAATTAAAATAAAATTAATTATACATAAAACTACAAATAAGCAGGCACGAAAATCACTCTAAAGTAAAAATAATATATGTCAAATCCCAGGAACAATGTAAAAATAAAAACAAATTAGGCACCCTCGTTATATTTATTACATTACATCCCGTGAGAGTATATATGCAATTAGTATACTTAATAAATCACCAAAGAGTGAAAACCAGAGTATTTCACATTGACAGTAAATAAGTTAGGTAAATGAGTTAATAAGTGTTGTTGAATAGAGCAGTAGGGTAAGGGTAGGACATATATATATATAGGGGAATTTAGCCTTTATTCATTACATTCGCAAGGTGAAATTTATTTATGTTTTGACAATAAGAACAGTCCGTTCTTTTATTCAAATGGTAACGTACATACTACATAAAGTTGCAATTTTCTTGCTTATTGAATTGCAGGTAAAATTAGTAACCTTCTCCAGGGAAGGTGACTGCTATGACACTCCTAACAGTGTGCTTTCCTGAATCCCAGGTCAAGTAGCCCTGCGCAACAGATCCACTTTTCCCCCAACTGGTCCTGTTGTTGCTGAGCTGAAACGTGACGGAGTAGGTGGCCTTCTGATTCCGGGTCGTGAAACACATCCTCTTTGGCCTCACGTTAACAATCACACCCTGGGGCTTGATTATGTGCGCAGAGTAACACGAGCTGGTGTCGATCACGTTGGTGAGGGTCCGGGAGAAAGTGTGGGGCCTGTCGAGTGAAACCGCGAACGTGGGGGAGTTGAGTTGTCCCTGAGGGATTTTGAAGGAGCAATTGGCCGGCAGCTGCGTGATCATCATGACCTGGGCCTCCGTGTATCCCAAGCCGCACAAAAACGGGACGTACTCATCCATTGCAATGTCGTAGACCAGACCGGGATCCATCGCCTTGTTCGGGTTCAGCTGGCCGGCCCCCATTGCGTAGGCACTGGCCGGACTTTGTTTCTCGTCGAGAATCGGTACGCCGTGGTCGTTGACGAGGTCGGCGGTGGTCATCATAGCAGATTTCACAGCCGCTGCCGACCACTCGGGGTGTAAGCTCTTGATCATGGCCGCAACTGCGCTGGCGTGGGCGCACGACACTGATGTGCCCGACATGATTCTGAACATGGTCCCCTTAAATTTTAGGCTCCAAGGAGACCAGGCGGCTATGATGTCCTCACCCGGCGCCAAAATGTCGGGCTTCAAAACCCCGGAAGCTTGCTTGCTGGGCCCCCTCGACGAGAAAAACGAGACTGCGGGAGCCGTCGGGTCCCCGAACGTGGTTCCCTCAAACAAGATGGTCGCGTTCGCGGATGACGTAGAATTTATGTAGGCCTTGATTTCCTGACCTGCCCAATAAGACACCGACGTGGACGGGATGGATAGCGGTAGTGGATACGAGTTGTGTGTATCCCCGGCCTCTTCCGGGTTGATCAATATCATGGCGGAACCGCCGGCAGATTTCACGTCATCGGCTTGCAAATCCGGGTTGTCCAAGTCGATTTCGAGCAGAACAATCATCCCCGAGAGGTCAAGGTACCCCCCCGTACCTCCATCGATGTAGGTGAGCGGCAGGGAAGAGAAGTTTGTTGACTGGGACACGGACTCCCCGTCTAACTCCACCCCGTTTCCCAGTAGCACCTGGGCCGGAAACCTCCGGTCGATCGTGCTTGCCGCGACCGTGAGAGCCCACGGCATGTCGTTGTCCACTGTCGAGGCCGAAGGTCCGTTGTTCCCCGCAGGGAGGCTCACGAGAATCCCGTTCCCGGCCGCCGCAAACGCGCCGACCGCGACGGCGTTCGCGTAAAACGGGACGCCTTTGCCGCTGCCGCGAGGGCCCAACGGTACGGAAAGGACATCCACGCCGTCATCGACGGCGATGTCCATCCCGGCCAACACGTCGCTCTCCCTACAAGTCTCCACGGAATTGCAGACTTTGTAAGCGGCGATGTAGGCTTGCGGGGCCACTCCGGAGGCCGTCCCGCCGGCGGCGGCGCTGTCGTTAACGTCGACGAAGGCTCCGGCGGCGGTGCTGGCGGTGTGGGTTCCGTGGCCGTCGAAGTCGAGCGGAGAGGCGGAGGCGTTGCCCTTGATGATGCCCCGGGCGCCGACGATCTTGTAGTTGCAGAGGCTCTTCGGCAGGCAGTTGCCCTTAAAATTGCGGAGCCGTTTGGACATCTTGCCGCCCTTGAACGAGGGGTGTCCCGGGAAGATACCGGTGTCGACCATGCCGATGACTGTATCCCCGCCAAGGTTGGTTTGCTTCCAGGCTCCGGTTCGTCGGGTAAGGCCGAGGAAAGTGGGGGAATGGGTCGTCTGGGGATGGTATGTGCATTCGAGGCGTACAGAGATGACGCCCGGGAGATTCTTTAGGGACTCGGCTTCGTCCGCGGTGAGGGAAGCCGAGAAGCCGCTCATGGCGTGCTCGTACGAGTGGATTAGGGACTTTTCGGAAACGAACGAGGTGTGGTAGCTTTTGGTCGAGTCAAAAAGGGCTTCGCGGGAGTTTTTCATCACGTGGACGATGTAAGTGCTTTTCATCTCAAGGTCACGTGAGAGGGTTGGTGTGAGGAAGGAGGAGAGGAGGAATATGATTTTGAGTGCATGGGATAGTTTGAGAGGAGGAGCCATGGTGAGTTTGTGTGTTCGACTTGTTACAGGAAGTTGCTTGTATTTATAGGCAGCATGAGAGACAATTACTTATCACCTATCGACGTGAAACAACTTAAATATTATTTTTATAGTACGGTGTATCGAAGAAGAATAAAGATTGATTATTTTCACTAACAGACATATCACTTATTATTCTTAAGCCCTATACAAACAATTCACAAGATTGATCTGTAAAGATTTTTGTAAGATTGTCTGGTAAACAATTCACAAGATTGGGATATGTCCAATATGTCCTTAAGGGCACCTGCATCGCGGGAATTATTTGTCCGTTAAACACGCCACTTCCATTCAACATGGATGTGAGGCATCCATTATATGGGGGCCCCATTTGGCCATTCATTGCATTGAACGGCTTAGTGTTTATTTTTTTTTTATTTTTTCTGTTTTGTTTTTAATTAATTTGTTTATTTTGTTTTTGTTTTGTTTTCAATTAATTATTTTTTTTATTTTGTAATCTTATTTTATGTCTTTTTAAATCTGATAATACTTAGTGTATTTTAAAATTTAAAATTAAATATTCTAAGTAAAAAATATATTTATTTTGTTAGTAATAAAATATAAAAATAGTATTGAATGAGTGGATGATGGGTTCTATATGTTTGTATTTAAATGAATGATTGAATGTGGGTGTGTGTTTAAATGGAGAGATGTTTAGTGGAAAGATGATGTGGATGAGAGATAGTGTAAATTGTAATTGAATAAATATTAAGGGATGTAGATGCCCTAATAAGTGTAAAATTTTGGATTAATTTTGGCAGTTGGATGTTGAGATTGTGTGGTTAAGATGCATTCTTATTTTTTTCAGTGAGCATCATTCTCACTTGAACCCAACCATATATATATATATATATATATATCATACTAATTTAGAATAATAAATGGACCTAAAAATATCATATAAAATAAATTACAAATCTATGTTAAACTAATTTTATTAAGTATGAAAATAACATAAGATAAACTTGTGCTATATTTTGCTTATATAGATTTAAAATATTCATACAAACAAGAAAAACGTACAAAATGGATGTAAACTTACAACTATTACCAACATTAACTATGCGAATTAAAAGGTGAAATAAATGAGTTGTATTTTAAATAATTATTCAGTTACTGCATGAAAGGAACATCATAATGGTTGTAACATATAACATATATTTTAACTGAATACGAAAATGAGTTAATTACTTAACGTTTTATCAAACAATGAAAAAATCCTAAACTTTAATCTTATAACCAGTATAAAAGTACATTTTTGCCAAATATATTATTATTATAAATAAATAAATAAATAAGTAGTATTGAATAGTATTTATCGTATTTGATTATATTAGTTGTAGCATAAAAATAAGATATTTTGATTACAACGTCATTATATAAAGTACGTAAAATAAAATGGCGTACTACATTTAAATGTGCTCTAATTCTTTTAACAAATAAATTTGTGAATAGAATAAGAAACAAATAAAACAATAGTAATTCAATGGGAAAAGAAAAGTTTGAATTTTCTTAGAGAAATATAAATACCAATATTTAGATACAAAAGTCTTTTAAAATTACTACATTTTTTTTTACTAGCGTCCAGTGACGGATCTAGAAATTTCTTTCAGGAGGGCCCGATTTTAAATGTTAACTAACGAATTTGTAATTTAAGTCGAAACACTTATTTTATATAAAAAAAATATATTTATTATAAATATAAATATCAAAATGTGCGTCATCAAATTTTTAAAAACTTAGAATTTATATCACCCTCAAACTTTTAGAAAAAAAAAATATATATACATATGAAATTTCATGTAGTTATAATTTAAGTTCAACAACTATAATTTATGAAAAAAATAAGTTTTTTTGGTTATCAATGAACATTTTTTTAAGAAATACAATGAAGTTAAAAATAACATTTTTGTTGACGAAAGCTTATCAATGAACATTTTTTTAAGAAATACAATGAAGTTAAAAATATGTGATTACACAAAACAAAAAAAAATCAACATTAAAAAATATAACTATCAAACTAAATACTCGTTTTTATCAATCACTAAATCTATTTACAATCTATATCTATATATATATAATAAGAATTAACATTTACCATAAATAGTAATAAGGAAAAGTCAACCACATTTATTATATACTATTTTCAGCAACTTTTACATTTTACATTTTAATTTTAATTCATTATCAAAAAATTGAATGGTTCCTAAATTAATGGGTTTTAAATGCACGTATCATGTTTCAAAAATTATAAATCATTTAAAATCGGAGGATTCATATGTTAATGGTTACAAACTTTTCAAAGTTGTAATCTTTATGGCATCTTTTCTTTTTGACTTTTAATAATAAAATTATTTTAAATATATATATTCTAATCCAAAAATTCAATCACGTTAAATATATATATATATATATATATATATATATATATATTGAACGCTAAAAATATATTTTAAATTGCATACCCAATCAATTAATCTTAATTTTTTTAAAATTACTATGTTTATTTTTTATTAATATGCATAAAATAAAAATAAATAGTTCATCTTTGGATATATAATTTATAATCTTAATATACTATCATTTGGTGTAGACATATGAATCATAAAATATTTTTATTTCATAAAATTAAATATTATATTTAAAGAAAATAAGGAAATTACTTTGGATCAATCGGGTGATTGAATTAGGGTACTACCCACTTTGATTGAATTACTTTTAGGTGATATTTAGAATAGTCAAAAAACTTGACATAACTTGGTTGGTCCGAGGTACTTAAGTTATGTATCAGTTTGACCAGACCAAATTGATTATTGAACCTAAATATAAATTATAATATTGAAAATACTTTATTACGTGAATGTGATGTCGTCCAAACTTCAAATAATCATATTAACAATACTTTTGTGACAACATGATTAATGATTTATGAATATTTATATATCATTTTGTTATTATTTATGTGAACAAAATATTTATTTCATTATCAGTTTTATTAATGTAAGGTAAATATAAGGTTTTCAGAATCACACCGTCTTGTGGTTGTTCAGATTTTAATACATAATACTTTAATATATATATATAGTACTTTTTGTAATAAATTTAAATAGAAAGTTTTACTTAAATATCTAAACAATTTATAAATTCAAATGTTTAAACTAATTGATAAACAATTTATAAATCTCTATTTTATTTAAATATGTAATTTTATTTAAAATAATTTTTCATATAACAAAATTTGTTTAGAAAATCGTATCGATCTTACCAGTCCAACATACTGGTGTTGGCGGATTCGATAGCAAATATTTTATTCAAGCGCACTAAATCGGTTATAAACCGGTTCTCGGTCCATCCGGTCGGACTGTCTCCAACCCGGTTTAATTTATAAATAATGGGTAAATCATGATTAATGTTATTTATTTATTTGATTTATAATACAATCAAAATATAATTTTTCCGTGCATCGCACGGGCCACGTACTAGTTAAGAGACCAAAAGAGTAAAACATTATAAATATTTTCAAAAATTTATCTAGAAATGTAAAATATAAGGATTGTTAGTACATTTTTCAATAAATAAATAATGCTATTAATTTAAATTAAAATAGTATAGAAAATAAAATTTTAATTATTCATATATTGTAAATATTTTTTACATTTCTATACATATTGTATAATTTTTTCTTTATATATATAAATATAGATATTTATAATATATAATACATATATATATATAAATATTGATATTAAAATAAAATTGAGGGGGGCCCATGGGCCCCTGTAGGCCCCATGTGGCTCCGTCCCTGCTAGCGTCTAATATATGAACTCTGTAAGAAATTAGTTTACATAAATAAAGATCCTATATTATCAAGAATTTTAAATAATTAAATAAATAAAAAAATTGTAATACAAAACGTAAATTTTAATAATAACTTCGTAATGATAAAGTTCACAGAGCGACTAAGAGTATTATAATATAATAAAATTTTAATTCTTTTCTTCTCAAATATTTTAACAAATGATATGTTTCTTAATATTGTCTCATTGTTTTTTTTCCAAGAAAGGATCTTTATCTTGAATTTTCGAAACATTATGTACGATGCAAAAAAATTGGACAATAAAAGCATTAAAGAAGTTATTAGGCACATAAGTACTGCAAATCCGAACGAATGCGAAAGATATTATGACAAACAACACTAAAATCATTGCAACAACCAAGATGGTCAATGATTTGCAAATAATAGATTATATAGTTCATTTATCTTTCAAATAAATAACATTGGAAAAAAAATGTCGAAGTCCGGTCAAAACATTCTTGAATGTTTGATTGAAATCCTTTTTTATAGGAATATATCTCATTATGCATTTTGCTCAAAAATATGTGCAATTACTTTACAGTACGTACTTTCATGTAATGTGATAATTTTAAAAAGTAATATAGCGTCTCGGGAGAAGTACATGTAACTAAGATTTTGGAAAGTTAACTTTTATTTAAAGATGAAATTCACTCCCACGTCGTGTGGCAATGCCTCCATTGAATTTGTACCATTTTGTCAATATAGACATAGTAATGAAGTAGTTTATATAATAATAAAAAATTAACAATTTAATGATACGTGGTTATTTTACAAAGATATTCATAGACTGTTAGTAGAAATACCTTATAATTAAAATAATACAATTATGAAGTTTGACTATGTTTGGCCAGAACATTTATAAGTATTTGAATAAAGTAATGATATGTTTAATAAATTAATTAATTTATTTTACCAAATTTAATCGGTAAAAAAATTCACCATCACGTGCGATGCACGTGCACTTTACTAGTCTATAAAATAATATTTTGTATTATATCAATTTTGTTCAAGTGGCATATTATTTTAATTTGAAATGATGTCTTATTAGAATTCATATTGAAAATCATACACATGGTTGAACCGGCATACAAGTTTTACTATTTTAATGTATCATGTTTTTTTTTTAAGAATGAAAATATCAATTTTATAACACTATGGATTATCTAAATAGCTATGTTTATTAGTTTTTTGGGTGAGGTGATGAAAACTAATAAGTTGGTAGAAATGCTTGTTCGACAATTACCAGTT